CTTATACTTTCTTTTGATATGAGAACATTTAGTCAACTTGATTGTGAAGTAGTTGATTTTGAGATTTAGCAAATAGTTCTTTTCCAGATTTGATAGGTGAATATTGAAAAGCACAGGGTACAGGTCACCTGTGCCTTGTTTGCACCATGCCTGTCCCCTGTGCTTTTCAAGATTTTTCACATATCGCCTGTGCCACTCACCTGTCCTTTTCTAGATTTGATGGTGAAATCTTGAAAAGCACAGGGGACAGGCGAATTTTGCAGATCCCTGTACCCTGTGCTTTTCATCGGGATTCTTTTTTAAATTGTTGGTTTTCTTGCATAATGGTTAAAATATAAAATTCTTCCAATCTTCAGATTAAAATATTTCAATTTCTTGGTTTTTTTTTGCTTGCTCACATTGAGGGAAAATTTGTCCTTTAATCTCTTATTTATCTTGGTCGGATAAAACCATGATTTCTTTAAGAGGCCTTTTCTTTTGACAATTAGGACATTTAATTCTGCAAAGATAGAGCAAAGTAAAAATAGTGATGATTATTCATAGGACTAATCCGAGGAGGAAAATTATTAAATTATTCATAATGGTTAAAAATTGGCTTTGGTTGGGTTAATTCTTGTCAGTGATCCAAAACTCATCTGGTTCCCTTTTGGTGGCAAAAGAAATTCCACCACTTGTTAATATGGACACTCTTAGCAATTTCTTTAAAGATTTCTTTTTCAACTAAGTTAGGATAAACAAAAATGAACTTTGGGTTATTTTCTTCATCAACTATTTGGAGTTTAAAATATTTGTTACATTTAAAATTACTCTTTTTATTGTAAACTTTCTTCTTCTCTTTTTGGATGATTCTACTGGTGAATTTTTGCCAAGGAGGACTAGCATTGGACAAAAAACTGTCTTGATTAGTTTGCTTATTCATCATGATAACTATTGACTAAAGAACAGAGTCCATCTTCATAAAGAGGTTGACCAAACTCATCATGCTTGTCCTTAATTGGTTGGTCTTCTAATAACTTTAAGGCTTCTTTCAGGGTTTCAACTAGATTATAGAGGGCATCACTATCTCAAGTCTCAGAGTCATCCGAATTAATGATGTGGGCTTTGTCAGTTTTGTCTAATAATTGGCTTAACTGGTCTAATTTTTTACCAATTTTACTTTTTAAACCTCACTTACTCATGGCTAATTAATTCATAAGTCAAGCAAGTAAAACTCTTCCTAATATTCTTATCCGAATGAGAATAATGACCAGTTAATTGGACTAAATTGCCTTTTTTTAGAGATGGTTCAACAAAGTTATTAGGATCATCCAAGTTTTTAACTTTAAAAATGACCGGTAAGTCTGCCCCATGTCCTTTTAGTTTGACAAAAGCATAATAATAAGGACTAGTTTCTTCTCACTTTCTAATTTGCGAAGTTAAAGTGCCTTTGATTTTAATTAAGTTGCTATTAAAGTTAGAGTTAGCAACTGAAACTCGGTTTATTTTTTCTCCAAGAGGAGTTAAATTTTCCTTTCTTTGCATATTTTTATCTACTTTTCATATAGACAAAAATGAATAGAGAGAAATTAACCTGAAATTTTTTATTTTTTGGTTAAATTATTTTTCAACCTTAATACTATGTATTAAAAAAAGTTCTGTAAATATATATTTATTATTAGTTATATTATTATTAGTATAGTATAAATAAATTATAGATTTTATGAATATTTAAATAAAATAAAGACATTATACATTAAATCCAATCAAATCACAAAAAGCAGACAGACATTGGAGAAAGTATTACAGAAGATAGGAATGAAATAACAAAATAATGAAATAATAGAAGTGAGATATACAAAAAAAAATATTAATAAAATTGCTGATGCATCAACATTATAATTGTCATTGATGTTAGATAAAAGTGTCAAGAATCCAATTCCATTAATTACACAATATGATTTTTATCATTTTTATGATGATTTAATCAACTGCTAGTTTGTATATGCAAATATTCTTGTTTCAGTGATTCTTCATCCATCAAGTAATAATTACTTATTTTCATTATATATTATGTCTTTTGATATACATTTCCATCTCTATGCAAATAATTCTCCAAAAACTATTAATTTATGGAGGGATGGCATTAACATAAAAAAATAAACATTTATTTTCATCCAATTTGTTAAATCTCAAAAAAAAATTTCTTACCTTAATATCAATCATTTTAAATTGGAAGGCATAACCAACAACAATGGTATCAAAATTTCTTCAATTATCATTACACAAAAGACCCTGTGTGATATATATATAACAATTCAAAATAATTCAAACATTATTAAACCCATTTATAAAAAAAATACTAATTCCGGGTATAGTTTTCTGGCTTTCCAAGAAGAGAATATGGAAAGAATGAACAATTTTCTAATTTGGTTCAAAGTTTTTTGAATTCTCTGCCATACTTATGGTTTTTTTCAATAAGATCATCAACGTCATAGTATGGTCTTTTTTTACAAATAGTTTCTGCCATATTGTTCCTAATTTCAGGTATTAAAGTGGAAATCCTTGATCTTGTTGCAGAGTTAAGATTGAGATTATTCATAATCCCAAAAACTAATCATGAAGAAAATATAGGACCAAAAAAATCATTGAAATTGTCTTTTGAAACAACCAGACAGTTATCTGGCAGTTCATCAATGCTTGAACTGAATTGTTGTGATGTAAATATTATAAGTAACCATCTTGTATTTTTTTAGTCTACTCTTTATGTCACCATGTGAATAATTAATGGCAGTCTGATTTTTATTACATTCATTTCTAATATCTTCTATAGTAATACGAGTAGAATTGATATACCATTTTTCCTGGAGTCCAAAAAGTGTGTCAATATTTCTACTATACATGAAGTCAAAATTAAAACCCCAAAGTCAAAATGTTTCAACTTGAGGCAACTACATGGTAAAAATCAGTTTCAACCTTATTTCAACCCTATTTCGACCAGATCTGCAAATGGTCGAAATAGTTTCGACTTCATGTATAATTTCTACAAGTCATAAAAACATCTGCAAATGGTGCATTTTTTCCATTAATAATGACAACTCCAGACTCCCAATCAACTAGACTGTTATCTGAACATTTATTTGGTGGATTTTTAGGGAAATGTCTGCCTATTTCACATATTTCTACCTTTTCAAGGTTAACTTCTATATCTAAGAGTGCCTTTTTGCCAATTGCACCTTGGTAAAGTTTCCCCAAGGAGATTTTTTTTATTCCCAGTTCAACAAGTAGGTTGTTGCGAAATATTTCAAAATATGCCACAAAATGTTCCCATTCTTCCCAAAACATCTTCAAATGAGGTTGAAGCTTGTTATGTAGAATCCCAGGAGCAATCTGTAAGTACTTATTGTAAAGGTAAATGAAGTAAAAAGGCATCTCAACAAGGTAATTTAAACTGTTTTAGAATTATATGTCATTCTCCATTTTTTCTATTGTTAGTTGTGGTGAGTTTTCATCCAAAACACTTGAGATTTGAATTGGAATGGCACCAATACAATAGTTCAGGAGCTGATGACCAAGCTTTTCATTATTATATAAAAAGTTTTTTATATTGTATTTTTGATCAAGCATGTTCACAATAGTGGTAAATATGTCATTAAAGTATGTAATTTCTCTAGTTCTCATCTTGTCAAGAAGGTATTTCCATCCATTTGTGAATCCCAACATGCTGTAAATACATATTCTAGTGCTTGTGGAAGACCACTAGTGTCATTCATAGGGTTTTTATTCATGAATATCATGAATATCATTAAGGGGGTTACACACTATTAAAACAGCAAAAAATCCCTTAA